CAGTGGACATGAACAAACAAATAAAATAAAACTACATATAGAAAACTTAACCTGATCATTAGCCTTCATAACAACCGGCCTTTGTATAATACAAACATAAATCATTCGGTAGGTCCGTGCATCCTGTAAAATTCGTCGAATAATGGGTCACTGAGATCTATTGGAGTTGATTCCTCATTGTTTGACGGTGATGTCCTGCATAAACACCAAACACAAGCACATAAAAAATTTAACTATTCAAATTTTAGGTGTTATTATAAATAGTTTTAACATCTTACGGTGTGTTCAAATTTCTTGGGCATTGTCTTCTATCATGACCAATGTCTCCACACTCCCGACAGTGTCGAATCCCTCGCTTCATTGGCTTTTCCTTTGCTCCCGTTACTTGTTTCCACCTTCCTTTGCACCTTACTCTCTTAGGGTCTTTCATATATTGTGTTTGAGAGCTAGACCCTCCAACTTCGTTATTACTTGGTCCATCCTTCAACAACTTCAACTTCACCCGCAAACTTTTTAGAGTCTCTGACACTAGCTCACATCCTTCTTCACACATTAATGCATCCTCAACCACATCTGAAGCAAGTCGGGACATTGTACTCCGCTTTATTAAAAGACCAGGATCTGCAGAGTCTTTAATTTCGTTGCCATTTGCATCTGACACCAATCCAGCTTTCGTAGTTTTCTTCCACCTTTTCAAAATATATTTATCGGGCATATATTCAGTCTGGTCCCTTCTGAACAATGCTAGGATGTGCTTGCAAATAATCCCAACAAATTCAAATTTTTTGCAGCTACACGATGCGTGGTCAGAATCTTTGACATATACGACTTCTGCCACTCTTGTTTGCCAATTTTTCCTTTCGCTCACATTAAAGACAACTTTTGAAGCATCCTCTGTTTTGAGCTCTAGGAAACATGCTGTACTTTGTATTAGTTCTTTCTCAAACTTTTGAAACATTGCCCTTGTGTACAAGGTAGCCATTTGTTTGTTCATTGGCATTGGTAGAATACATTGAGCCACTTCAAATGCATCTACGTGATCAGCAGCTAACTCTTTTTGACGTTGATGAGAAAGAGCCCTCTCAAATCGTATTATGAAATCCATCAACGAATTTCTCCTTGATATGTATTGCTTGAAGAAAGCATGAGAACCTTCCGCTCTTTGGCTGCTTGACATTCCAGCGGCAAAAAAGTCTCGTGCGTAGGCTGGAACCCAAGATTCCCTTAAATCAAACATTGAACTTAGCCATTGATGGTCAGTCAAACCAGCCTTTGTAACCACAATATTCCACTTTGCATCAAACTCATCCTTATTGTCAGTATCCCATATGACTTTTTGAAATTCACGCCAATACTCCTTATAAGCAGAATGTGGTAACTTAACATGGAACTTTGATGTGATGTGCCATATGCAAAGTCGATGAAATGTAGTCGGGAAGGCTATTGAAATCGCTCTAGTCATGGCCGCATCTTGATCTGTAATGATCGTTTTAGGTTCGCCACCTGGCATGGCTTTCTTAAACTCCTCAAACATCCAAATAAACGACTCAGTCGTTTCCTTGCTCAAAAATGTGCATGCTAAGACAATTGTCTGACCATGGTTATTAACTCCCAATATTGGTGCAAATGTCAAGTCGTATCGATTCGTGTTGAATGTGGTATCGAATACAACA